AACTGAAAATGGGCCACCTAATTAAACGTGTAACAGTAAGGAAAAGTGCAGTTTGGCCTGGAGGGGGCACTGAATGCTCAGCTGGCCTTGTTAGGCCACCTTGTGAGAACCTGTCAATTCCTATGACCACAGTAGCTCACACACTCCATTTCGCAGTTTCACAGGAGCTTACAGGTCTCACCAAAGTGAAACGTGTCACTTCATGAACAATGAAAAGGAGCTAGCGGAAGAGCAAAATGCCCCTCCAAGCCGAACAACGCCGAAAGAAACGCCATTCTCGTTTAGTGTTTTTCGGGGGGAGGGTTATTAAGTCAGCTCGCGGTCAAAGAAGATTCAGCTCGCGGTCAAAGAGGATTGTTGTGAGAACTTTACAAAGTGGATTATTAGGTAGGCCGAATCTCAGAGCTTCGGTAGCCTCCTGAAAGGCCCGCAGGACCATGAGCTCGTAGTAACCTTGAGCTTACGACTAGCTTATGGTAACTAGCGGGGCGCAGTTCGGCTTGGTGGGGCAAGTAGTGCTACTCAGCTAAGCTTGTACAAGCCTTATAAATGAACCTGTGAACTCCTGAGAGTCGTTCACTTGAATATTCGCAGCTTCACAGGAGCTAACCTATCTCGCCAAAGTGAGACCTATTAGTTAACAGGAATTATCAAAAGGATCCTGCAAACGTTCAAGATGCACCCTCCAAGCCGAACAGCGACACTAAATTATACTTTCCACATTTCCGTCGCTTAAAGGTTGCTAAACGTCGGCGAAATTTCCCACTATCGAAATTACAGATGTACTTGGCTAAAATTGATTGTCTGGCTGGTTGATCAGCTAATTGATCGTATCTATTTATTGATTAAATTCTACTCAAATGCTTGGGAAACAGCTTCTTTCCGTAGAAACCGATCCACCACTGCATGAACAGGGCACACCGTACATACGATGGGGATCCTCAGCGAGGTAGGGGTCGTATTTGGTCGGTGGTCGTATTTGGTTGGTGTGCTATTTCGCAGTTTTGTAAGAGTTTATCTCTCAGTAGGCATGGCGTAGTCGAAAGAAGAAGTGC